GGGGATCAAGCCCACAACCTGACTGGGAATCAACCTGTGACCTCCTGATTCATAGGTCAACACTAGATCACTGAGCCACACCGGCTGGGCCAACTATACCTTTTTCCCCCTCTTTTTTTTCTATTACAAATAGCTACTCTAAGGTACAAAATCATTATGTTAGGCATTTTGAAAATTGTCACACAACCATGTATCAAATGAACTAAAAAAATAAAATAAAATTTGGGGGCTTTGGCTAGACATAAATGATAAATATTTTTCAAGGATCTTAGGGTTTGCAGAGCATAAACACAACGAGGTGATACCCAGAGTGTTCCAAAGAAGAAGGAAAAGCTAAGAGTTCTTACAGGAAACGTACATCATTGAGAAGAATCAGTTCGATGTTCTTAGCCCTCGGATTGGTCTAGGATGGTTATTAGTCAGATGTCAGGTGGGTGGAAAATGGCTGCCAGGTGGATTTCAGGTAGTCTTACTATGTGAGTCCTTCAGGGGGCAATCGGAGGGTTTTCTGGAGATCTGGTGTACTAGTAGAACCAGGCATTGACACAGGATTAGAAAGTTTAAAAATTTAAGTCCCAGACTAATTAGAACAAGAATAGAATTGCTTCTTCATGTCTCAACCTTGGCAATATTAATAATTTTGACAGCTTGGTTAAAGTGTCTCCATTATATGTTTTCCCGATCTTCACTCTGTCCTCACATATACTCTTGGTATTATCATTCCCCTTTCTCAGATGACATTCTGGTTATCTATAGAAATCACCTCCCAAACTTTGGTGGATTAAAATAACTACTTATAATTACATGCTTAGAAGTCTCACGTGTAGTTGCAGTCAGGTGGCAGCTAAGGCTGGAGCTGGAGTTATCCAGCCTGAACATCTTAGGTGGCTTCTTCGTCCCTGTATCTGATGCCTCAGTTAAGGTGATGAGGACAGCTGGAAGCGGGCGGACCATCTGTATCTCCTCATAGCCCCTTCTTGTTGGGCTTCCTCCCAGCATCATAGCCTCAGCATAGATGGACTTCTTACATGACTACCTGCTTCCCCAAAGTAGAGCGCCGAGAGGCTGAGGCTTCTTATGACCTAGCTTCTTACAGCTTCTGATACATCTCATTGGTTATTATTTGCAGCCCAGTTCAATGTGGGAGGGAACTTCGGAAGCATGGAAATGCTGTGAGAGACAAAGCTCCTTGTGGGGGAAGGGCATCTTTGCAGACTAGCTACCGTAGGTGAAGAGATGGAGGCTCTGAAAGGTTATGTAATGAACGGCCAGTAAGTGGCTAAATTGAGACTTGAACCTTAATAGGTCTGTCTGACCCCAGAACCTTCCTTCTGTATCATTCTCTTTCTTATGATTGCTTATTTTGGTTATCTACTATAGCATCTTAAATACTGTCTCTAGATGGCCTCTTTTAACCTTTGCCAGGCTGCTGACTGCATCAGCCAGCTGCCACCTGACTGCAACTACATGTGAGACTTCTAAGCATGTAATTATAGGTAGTTATTATATTTTAATCCACCAAAGTTTGGGAGGTGATTTCTATAGATAACCAGATAACCTGGCTTAACTGTTTACAGGGAAGAAATCAGGGAAAATGAGTAGTGCAACTACCCCAAACTCCATTTTGGGTTTTCTATATATACTAGAGGCCCAGTGCACAAAATTCATGCATCGGGGAGGTGGGGAGGGTGTCCCTCAACCTGACCTGCACTCTCTCTAATCTGGAATCCCTTGGGGGATGTCCGACTGCTTCTCGCAATCTGGGACTGCTGGCTCCTAACCACTCACCTGCTTGCCTGATCACCCCTAACTGCTCCTCTACTGGCTTGATCATATTGATTTCAGAGGAGAAGGAAGAGGGAGAGAGATACAGAAATATCCATGATGAAAGAGAATCATGGATCAGCTGCCTCCTGCAAGTCCCCCTCTGAGGATCAAGCCCACAACCCAGGCATGTGTCTTGATCAGAATAGAACCTGGGACTTTTCAGTTTGCAGGCTGACCCTCTATCCACTGAACCAAACCAGCTAGAACATAAAATGCCCAAGTTGCACTCTGGGGTTGTGACAGACAGCCCCTTACCATTCTGACAGCAGACCACCAGGACATTGCTGAGCAACTTAGACAGAATATACATTATCTCAATGTGAAGGCTTTGGCAATGTCAGGAAAAGCTGCAGTGGGAGTACAATCAAGTGTAATAACAATTTCTTATATTTGTAACTGTCCTGTAGTGGTTTTTTTTAATCTTATTTTGTTGGGTATGAACATATCACTTTTAAATATATATATACATATATATGTATATATATATATTTAAAAGTGATATGTTTTATATATATTAAATAAATATAAAATTTTATAATTTTAAATTATAAATAGTTTTATAATTATTAAATATAAATAATATGTATATATATTTCTTTATATAAATATATATAATATGTGTGTGTGTATATTTCTTTCTTTATTGATTTAAGAGAGGAAAGGAGAGGGAGAGATACAAACATCAATGAAGAGAGAATCATTGATTGGTTCCTCCTGCACAGCCCCTACTGGAGATCGAGCTCATAACCCAGGCATGTGCCCTTGGCTGGAATTGAACCCAGGACCTTTCACTTCACAGGCCAACGCTCTATCCACTGAGCCAAACCGGCTAGGGCTGTCCTGTAGTTTTTAAAGCACATCCATGTATTTTATCAGCCAGGATAGGCTGGGTTATGATGCAAAAAAAGGAAAAAGAAAAGAAAAGAAATAAATCTCAGTACAGTCGAACCCCAGTTCTCTAACATCTCCCATTTCAAACAATTTAGTTCTTGACCAAGTTATTCATGGGAAAAAATGTCTTGGTTAACTTCAGTTCTCGACTTGCCCATCGCCAGTATGAGTCAGTTTACAGCTAAAGCCTTGCCTTAGCTGTTGACATCTCAGGAAATTGTGCTGTGGATATTGTGTGTGTGTGTGTGTGTGTGTGTGTGTGTGTGCGCTCGCGCGCGTATGCACGCTTTTGTTGCTGGTGAAATGGATGATTAGCACAATTTTAAGACATAAAGAGGCCATCAAGAGAGCTAATGTTGCTAAGGTTGTGACAGAAACAAAGCAGCTCGTCAATGACAGCATTTCAGAGGCAACGAAATGTGAAAAGGGGAAGAGGGTACGTGCTGGCCTCCTGAAAGACCCCCCGGAACAAGTGCAGACAGTGATGTGTGTAAGGCTTGTCGCGGTGGCTCTGTCTGTTTAAGGACATCAGTGTTTGTTTATACCGTAAGCAGTACATTAGACATGTGCTGTATACAAGAAAACCATTGCCTGGAACTGATCACATGACTCTACCCAACCACAAGGACACCACGTATAATCCTAACATGTGCCCAGAAGGGGATAAGCCTGAAATGACGATATGACAAAACCACTACAGATTGCCACATATAAATGACCTTTTAGGGTTTCTTAGCAGTTCCGAGGTGCAAGGAGCTGGGAAATTATTCTCATTTTCCAGAAGTGTAGAGGAGATGTTTTTTGTTTTGTTTTAAATATATTTTATTGTTTTTTTACAGAGAGGAATAAAGAGTTAGAAACATCGATGAGAGAGAAACACCAATCAGCTGCCTCTTGCACACCCCCTCCTAGGGATGTGCCCACAACCAAGGTACATGCCCTTGACCGGAATCGAACCCGGGACCTTTCAGTCCGCAGGCCGACACTCTATCCACTGAGCCAAACCGGTTTCAGCAAGAGCTTGTTATATAGTATGTGAATTATGTCTCAATGAAGATGTTATAAAAAATAATGATAGTTTAAAGACAGAGGAGCAGAATATATGATGATAGGCAAAACACCCCTCTGTTTTACAAAACTCATTAACGTACAGCACCTTTAAGTTCCCACCCTGCTCTTAACCCAGCACTCGGGAGAGGCAGAGGTATAATGCAAGGGCTCTCAGTGTGGGGTCCACAGATAGAGGGAGATGGTTCACAAACTCACCCCAACATTGAAAGCAAAGCAAGTGTGTGTCAGTGTTCATTTTAGGAGAGAAAGGATCCACAGTTGGTATCAGCTTCCCAAGGAAATCTGGGAAGAGTTAAATACTGTCTCTGTTCACATTGCCTAAACTTGGAAGCCGCCCTCAAAGGTGAATGGAAAGAATAACGGACCAGAAGTCAAGAAACTGAGCTCCCACACTGGCTCTAAGTAACTGAGAAAACTTGGACAACTCACCTCTCTTCTTCATTTACAAAGTGCCAGACAGGACTCACTGGTGTCTACGATCCCTTCCAGCGACGTATACAAGATACAGGATACTCTGTGGCCAGGCAGACCTGAGTTTATATCTGGGCTCTACTTCTTCCTAATTGCATGCCCTTGTGCAAGTTCTAAAACCTGTGCATACCTCTGTGCACGCTGACGATCCATGCAGTGTTTTGTTTTGTTTTTAAATATATTTTATTGATTTTTTACAGAGAGGAAGAGAGAGGGATAGAGAGTTAGAAACATTGATGAGAGAGAATCATCGATCAGCTACCTTTTGCACACCCCCTACTGGGGATGTGTCCGCAACTAAGGTACATGCCCTTGACTGGAATCGAACATGGGACCTTTCAGTCCGCAGGCCGACGCTCTATCCACTAAGCCAAACCGGTTTTGGCCATGCAGTGTTCTTGAGAGGATTAGTAACCACGAGTGGTGAACACCTGGAGGGCATGATTATTAAATGATGCTTCCTATGTGTCTATGCCTGGCTTAAGTTCTGCTGAGCCTTAGATATTTCAGTGAATGGGCAGGGTCTGCTGGGAACTCCAGTGTAGATGTGCAATTCAGATGTCAGCCAAGGCCTTGCCTTCGAGCGGTTCCTACTCTAGAAAGGAAGTCTAGGCGAAAAGCTTGCCATATCTCATGCAGGTACACACCAGGCCTGACTCACGCCCTGCCTGGTGCCCCTGCAGGGCCAGCGCCTGCCCCTGCTTGCTCCTCTAGGAGGCCGGAGGGCTTGCTGAGCCAGGATGGGCGGAGAGCTTCCTCAAGAGGAAGAGGTTGACCTCGCCAGCAGCAGTGGTACTGGGAGAGCCACAAAACCACCCCTCCGCCTTCCCCCTTTTCTTCACTGTGCTGTTGTTACCACATAGCAACCGTTGTTAAGGGGATAGCCATCTTAACCCAAATGGACTCACTTGCTGCTTCCTGCGAAGGCTAGGGCAAGAATGGCTGCTTCCAGGTTAGCCTCCCGCTGTCCGAAGCCCTGAAGAGCAGGTAACCTACAAAGAAACACAGCAAGGAGATGGCTGTACTGAGTCTCCTGTTCCCTTGTCACCTCTCTGCATGATGCTGGCTTTCTGTTCTGCTATAACCAATCACCACACATTTAGAGACTTAGAACAACACAGATGAATGAAAACAAGATAAGCAATGAGACACCGCTGATAACAACAAATGTTGGTGAGGATGTGGGGCCATAGGAACTTTCACTCACTGCTGGTAGGAATGCAGCATGGAACAGCCGCTTGGGAAAGCAGCTCGGCAGTTTCTTACTAAACCCGATGTACTCTGAGCATTCCGTCTGGCCGTGGCGCTCCTTGGTGTTTATCCAAAGGAGCTGGAAACGTATGCCCACACAAAAACCTGCCCACACGTGTGTATTCATAATTGCCTAAACTTGGAAACAACCAAGAAGTCCTTCAGTGGGTGAATGGATAAGTAAACTGTGGCACATTTAGTCCGTGTATTCAGCACTAGAAAGAAGTTATTAAGCCAACACCACCTATTATTTAAAAAATATATATATTTGTATTGATTTCAGAGAGGAAGCAAAAGGGAGAGAGAGAGACAGAAACATCAATGATGAGAGAAAAATGATCAATCAGCTGCCTCCTGCATACCTCCCGCTGGGGATCAAGCCTGCAATTTGGTCATGTGCCCCTGACCAGAATCAAACCAGGGATTGGTATCAAACATGGGACCCTTCAGTCCGCAGGTCTATCCGCTAAGCCAAACTGACTAGGGTGCCAACACCACTTATTGAAGAGGCTGTTTTTACCGCATTGCATATTCCTGCCTCCTTTGTTGTAGATTAATTGACCTATAAGTAAGGATTTATTTCTAAGCTCTATTCTATTTTATTGATCTATACATCTCGGACCAACAAAGGAAAAAGGATCCTTGAATATTGACTTTATAATGCAGAGCAGCGTAGCAACTGTTCACTTCAACCTGGCTTCAGGGCCCCCTACCTTTGCTTAACTAAAATGTTTTCCGAAACAAAAGGTAGATTCTTTCCCACAATGAATTCTTCTCCCACTCTTGGAATGTGGAAATGCTGAGCTGTGGAAGTCTCCCATTGGCTGAGCTGGACTGGGCAAGGAGAAATTTTTCTTCCTCCTGCTGAGGTAGTGAAATAGAATCGCTCCTTGCCAGTGCAAGGCCCGTCTCTTCCTGTGGGGTCAGTAGTCTGCGTTGAGCAGTACCAGAGTTCTCTCCTCTAGCCTCCTGACTCCATTTTAAATGAGGTCTCCGTTAATTAATTTTCAAACTAGGTTTTCAGTGCTCCTCAAAATCTCATACTCCTTCCCTTTGTCAGCCTGGAATTGGCATCTGTCCTCCCTACTCCCACTCCCAGTCCGACCAGGCTGGGCAGAGCTGGGAAGGCCTTTTCAGGGTGCAGGTGCACCGGCTCCCGGGGCAAGAGATCCCAGCACCTGCCTCTGCCTTCCAGGGACTGGCCGCAGTGCGGCAGGAGGTGCTGTTCCTGCCTGGGCTCGGGGGAAGGAGCTTAGCCCAGGAAGCTGGGACAGGATACCAGAGAGACAGGCCATGGGGGCCTGGAGAGAGAGGAGGGGTGAGTGGAGCTGAGGACACGGTGCTTTGGATGGAGGATCCCTCAGGGAATGTCTGATAAAATGGACGGATGAAAGGGACCAGGCGTCACCTATCCAGGAAATGATGGAAAACCTGGGGGTGGAAAACGTGGATACCGGTTTCCAGGCTTAAAGACGGCCTCTTCCTCTTTTTCTCTATGACAATTCTGCTTCCTTGGGATTTCTACATAGGGCAGCATTTTGGAGGCTTTTACCATTTTTACACATATGGCTCTGTGTCTGTAGGGAGAGCTATTGGTGTTTGTAACCACTGACCACTCTGGAGAATCTGGTGAAGAAGAGCATGTTAAGTGGGTTGCAGGGCTTCCTAGGTCTCTAAAGGGAACCTTCAGCTCAGAGCGAGGCTCCTGAGGGCAGAGGCCTGGATGGGGAGAATGGCCTCTGTGTTTTCCGGCTCCAGCCCAGAGATCCAGCACCGTGCCTTCTTCCAACACCAACGATGGCTTCTGCCCCCATGCTGGCAGTTGGGGGTTGATTATCGGTACTTTCTCCAGCCTGAGGCACCATCCACTGTACGCTGCACCTTTATTTCATGTAAGCAAGGAAACAAGGCCCAAAGAAGGAGGCTGCACACAGATGCTGGGGCACCGGAGAGAAATCTTCCCAAAGGAGAGACTGGCCGGAAATGTGCGTGTCCCAACCTTGGCGCTGTGTGGAGGGAGGAAAAGCAGTTCTCCCCTGGGAATCTGGACCACACACCTGTCCTCATGCCAGTCTGAGATCAGAATTCACACAGTCCCTGTGGTCCAGAGAAGTCAAACCGAAAATTAACTTAAAGTGGTCTGGTTGCTAGTGCCCCAGAAGTGACCAGCAAGTGTGCATCCGCTCCGGAGAACTCGGCGTCAACCCCGGCTGATGGCCTTTGGAGGATACCACCAGTTTAAAACAGTCCGATTTCAGTGATGTTAAGTGGGAGGAAGTGTGTCCCTCAGAATGAGTGAGGTATGGGCATGAAATAGATATGCTGTTGGCTGTACTGGTGGTCAACTCACCTGGGTTTGCCTGGGACGTCCCTGGGGTTAGCCCTAAGAGGCACACTTCTAATGAAATCTCAGTCCGGGACAAACGCGATCACCCTACCTAGCCTGGTCTTCTTCTGGGGTCCTTATATCTGGCCTGAGGGGGCCTTGTCTTATACTATACTAGTGGCCCATTGCATGAAATTCATGCACATTAAAAGGGGATTAATTAGAGGAAATATTTTATTTTTTTAAAAATATATTTTATTGTTTTTTTACAGAGAGGAAGAGAGAGGAATAGAGAGTTAGAAACATCGATGAGAGAGAATCATTGATCAACTGCCTCTTGCACACCCCCTACTGAGGATGTGCCTGCAACCAAGGTACATGCTCTTGACCAGAATTGAACCCGGGACCTTTCAGTCCGCAGGCAGATGCTTTTTCCACTGACTGAGCCAAACTGGTTTCAGCGAGGAAATATTTTAATATTGCTATTTGCCCTTTATAATAGAAGTATCAGAGATGAAAGAAAATTAGTTAAATGTATATGAAAATCTTCCATCTGTCAGAGCCTGGGGTTCACCATGGGACCTAGAGTCAAGTCCTCGGCCACCCACATGCACCTCAAAATCACGTGAGACCCAGACCCAGCCAGCTCCACCCCCATTGGGCTAGATCCAAACCCGGCCTGGTCCACCCTTGTCAAGCCATACTGGGCAGGGTCTCAGCCTCAGGTTCCCTGGCCTGGTACTGGGGCGGGGAGCACATCCTGAGGTCCCCCATCAAGCCCTGCTGGGTGCGGGAAGCAGCCTGAGGTCCCCCAGCCTGGTGCTGGGGCCGGGGCACGGCCTAAGGTCCCCTGTCAAGCCCCATGGGTGGGGGGATTGGGAGGGGGATGCAACCTCAAATCCTTGCTGATTGTTTGTTAAGGCTCATAACTGGAACTCGGCCTCCATTGTGGGTGCAGCCAGGTTGTGTTATGGACCCCCCCGCCCCATCCCCTCCCCTGCCTCCACTGTGGGCACTGGCATCTTAGTGGCAGAGTGATGGTCAATTTGCATATTCTCTCTATATTATGTAGGATATTTCTGCCTCAGGATAGGATGATTGCACCAGGCTGTGGACACCTATCCCAGGGGCTTTCTGCCCATAGGCCAGCCAGCATCTAGGACTGAAGGCCTCACTTGGGAAAATAAGAGAATTTGGAAATTTGGACTTGGGAATCTGAAGAACAGAGGACATGCTCTAAGAACACTAGGCCTGGCCTGGCTTTTCAGGTTCTCTTGGGTTCATGTGCATTGAAAGAATTTAAATAAACAGTCCCTTTTATTTATTTACATTTTGGGGAGGTGGAGAAGTTCACCTCAGTACTTGTTGGGCCCTTCTGGCTAAAACCCCTGGCTGAGGCCGGGAGACTGTCCTTCGATGTATTATAGAGGTACAAGCCCATCCTAGGTGCTGCCGAGAGGGGCTCCGTAAGGCCTGTCGCCTGGTCAGTGTGTCCAGGAGCAAGAGCTCCCAGGCTCTGCCCATCCATGATGCACAAATAACATGTAATTAGCAGGATGACATAAACAATTCCCTACATGAAGTCGTAGAAAATCATTAAACTCTCTCAGTTTTATTTGTGTCAACACATGTCCTTGGAGTTGTGTTTCTTTCCAACCTCCTTTTCACCGTTTTCTTTTTTTCCTCCTCTCCCCCCACATCGGTCAACTTCTTAAGGGAGGAATTACATCTTCTTTCTCATGTTTGCCCCTCACATAGGAGCCCATTCTCCTGCAAGCTCCTGCAAGAGACGGGGAACAGGTCTCTGTGTGTGGATCCCACTGAGCACGATCATGGCACCCAAGACATTCTTAACCAGCGAGTGTTCAACTGAGATGAGTGTAGACTCAACAACAAATGCCTGAGCTGTGGATGGAGTTCTCCATCTATTCAACTGGCACTTAATAAACTCCTATTATATGTCACCAGTTGGCTCAAATTAAGCTCTTACAAAAATTTTGGATGTTCTCTACGTTCCTGGCAGGAATATGTGATCTCTGGAATTTGTGGAGAACTTTCTAGAAACCGTGAGGCTCGAGGCTTCTCTACGAGGCCTCTACTCCTAGGCACGGAAGCCTGAGGCAGCTTTTCTGTGGGAGGTGAAAGGACTCCAAGCCATGACAGGTTCTGTCTTTAATTCACAGCTGTGCTGCCAAAGCCCGGGGATGACCGGCTAAGATCACCCAGTGTGGCCAGGACTCAGCCTTTGCCTGTGGGGCCCTCCAGCTCGCCTCACGATGGAGCATCCTCAGTGCATACCTGGGACACAGAAGCCAAGGCCCACACCGGCCTTCACCCACCGAGCCAAGCAGCTGGACTGTCAGACTCAGGGATGGGCATAAACGCAGGTATCTGGCGAATTCATGAACGGTCCCGGGTACTCTGGGCTCAGGGATGGTCTGTTAGAAAGAAAAACCAACACCTCATGTTTACCCAGGAGTCTGTGCTTCTGAGGTGATCATGCAAACTAATCGTGTGGGTTGTGGGGTGAAGGAGCGCAAGGAGAGCTGGGGCCTGAGTCCCAGCCCTACTCTACTGAGCAGTGTGATCTGTGACGTATCACCTCTCTCCTCTGACCCTTTGTTTTTCCCAGCTGTAAGATGAGTCCTGGACTCAGCCTGCGTGTGTGTGTAGAGTTCCATCTGGCACATGGCAGGGCCTGATAGAAGGGGACAATGTTTTTCCTGCTGACGGACTCTGTCGGCGCAGCAGGTCTCATTGGACAGAGGAAGAAATTGGCAAACTGTCCACCTTCTTTCCCCCAATGCCCACCATCCCTTTATGAGGTGGCGATTTCTATCTCCACGAAAAGTCGGCTGGGGATGGGCAGTCACTGAGTGCCTGCGTGCAGAGCTTCAGTTCAGAACCCCAGCTGTGCTGGTCTGAGGCTGCTGAGTGGAAGCAAACTCCCTGGTGCTGGGAGGGGTCTATCTAGAGAAGGGAACAATCTGTGCGCTCTCCTTTCTACATGGGCTGACAAGGAAAGCAACTAGGAGGCTCCCTGGAGCTTTGAGAGGAGTAAGGAGGGTTGGGTGGGGAGTGCAGAAGGTGCCAGCTGGAGTCCTAGCTAGAGCCCCGCCCTGTATCTCCTTAGTGGGAGGGTTACCTATGGCAGGGTTACCCCAGGCTTCTGCTGACTTCGCTGGCTGGCAGTAACACAGGCTTCCTTCCAGCCACTTCCATCTCAGACACTCTGACCCACGGTGCCTGCCGGCTGGGAGAGAAGGTTCTGTCACAGATGCCCCACACTGGATTCAGGGAGGGGGATGATATCCACTTACCTTTTCCTAGGCTTCTTAACCACCATCACCATTGCCGAGCCTGCCTGAGCATCCCTGCTTCCCCACCAAGGCCGGGAGTGGACCAGGGGCCAGGGGGCAGGAGCTCAGGTCCAGAGGCTAGCGGGAGCATGAACAATATGTGCAGGGATGAATTCTGAGCAAGGCTGTTTTGTTCTCTCTCTTATAATCTCTTTATTAAATGCCTCGTCAACAACTTTGTAAACTGACACGTATTCACTGCCACCGATGGAACCGTTCAATGAACCCTGCCACCTGGCCCGCAGGCCCACAGGCAGTGGGTGTGAGCTGTGTGTGGGTCACCTTTCACAACTTTGTCTACACTCATTATTGGGGACTGAATTGTGTCCTCCCCAAACTCAAATGTTGAAATCCTAACCCCCCAGTGTGACTGTGTTTGGAGATAATGAAGGTTAACTGAGGTCGGAAGCACGGAGCCTTATAGGAAAGAGGCCATGTGAGGTGTGCCACAGTGAGGAGGCCGTGGTCACAGTCAGAGCAGTCTCTCCAGACACGCCCTGACGGTATCTTCATGTTAGACCTTTGGCCTCCAGAACTGTGAGAAAATACATTCCTGACGTTGAAGCCACCCAGTCTGTGGTATTTTGTGAAGCATGCTAGGTAACGCCTACACAGAGATCCGCGCACAAGGAGGAGAGGGTGTTGTATTTGTTTATTGGAACAAAAATGGGATCATGCTAAGCGCACATTACTCCCAGATTAGCTGTTCTCATTAACGTTACATAATGGCCACTTGGCTCCTTGCTCACACCCACACTCAACTCTGCTAGGACATCCTGCAGGCCCTCCCATCAGAACCTGTCTGGACTCTGACCACTTTCCCCACCTGGTGTTGGCTCCATTCTCTCTCTTACTCACTGCAGCAGCCTCTTCACTCTTCTCTGCTTCTGACCCGGCCCCCAGTCTGCTCTCCTCATAGCAGCCAGAAGGATCATTTGAAAACCTAAGTCAGCTCATGCTGCTTCTTAGCTCAAAACCTTCCAATGGATTCCCATCCCATGCAAAGCAAAAACCAAAGTCCTCACACACACACACACACACACACACACACACACACACCAGCTCTATGGCTCTTCTCTCTGACTTCTCCTCTCACCCTGTTCCCATGCCACTCTGGTTTCCTTGGTCTTAGATCCCACTCTGTCTCCCTGCAGACAACGAGCATGAGCTATTTCTTCCATAACCTTTTAAAGATATTTCATGCATACAGTAGCAGTTACCTGACTAATTAAAAAAACAAACAAACCCCCCCCCCCCCCAAAACACACACACACACAGCCCTAGCAGGTTTGGCTGTGTGGATAGAGCATCAGCCTGTGGACTGAAGGATCCCAGGTTCCATTTCAGTCAAGGGCACATGCCCGGTTGCAGGCTTGATCCCCAGTGGGGGGTGTGCAGAAGGCAGCCGATCAATGATTCTCTCTCATCATTAATGTTTCTATCTCTCTCTCCCTATCTCTTCCCCTCTGAAATCAATTTAAAAAATCATTCATATATATATATATATATATATATATATATATATAGATATAGATATAGATATAGATATATATCGATAGATAGATACACACACACACACACACACACACACACACACACACACTGAGTGGCCAGATTATTATGATCTCTGAATGCACCGGGCCTCAAATATATATATATATATTGCTATTTTACATAGGGTGGTTAGCAAAAGCCTTGCCCGTGAAATGATATTTGAGCCCAGGCTTGAAAGTGAGAGGGTGAGCCATGCATATATCTCAGAGTTGCACTTTTAAAGCTGAGGGAACCTCCCCCAAGGGAGGAGTGTACTCCATATAAGGAACAACAAACAAGGCAATCACATAGCTGGACTGAGTAGGTGTATCTCAGAGATTCTGTGTCATGAGAACTTTCTTATTCTTTTTTACACCTGCATCCTGTTCTATTGTGTGCATGTGCCATTGAGAAGGCTAACCCCTATTTTGCAAAACTACTGTTTGGAATTCTCTGCTATTTTTTAGACGACCTCTTATTTAAAAAAAATAATAATAATAACTGCTTTCCAGCCTGCTTGAATAATAAGGAAGATAAACTTAGCTGACTGACCTTGTAGGCCCGAGACTTGATATGCCCATACTCTCAATGCCATGCCAGGTGCATTTTTTAATTGGATAGAACTGTGTTGTTTTCAAGGCCAGCAGTGAGATAACCACTAAGCACACATGGGGCTGGCTCTTTAATAAAAAGGGAAGTTCTGCTTGTAGCTCTGCTTAGAATTTGAATTCATTTTCTCTGAACCCACTGAGGTGAGTAAAGTGTGACTCCAAATTCTATAAGCATTGCTTGATTTATTCCAGTTCTCTGTAAGATCATAGTTTAAGCAGTCTCAATTGGTGGGGATTTAAGAGACTTCTGTAATTTTGGTTCTAATAGTTACCTTTGCAGTGTTGAGAATAAAATTCAACTTAGTATATTTGAAAATCTGTTTAGCTTTATTAAGTGATTCACGAATCATTCCATTGAGCAATAGAAGGACCCTCGTAGGTGTTGTACTACATGGAAGGTTTAAAAAAAAAATATATATATATATATTTTATTGATTTTTTACAGAGAGGAAGAGAGAGAGATAGAGAGTTAGAAACATTGATGAGAGAGAAACATCAACCAGCTGCCTCTTGCACCCCCCACTGGGGATGTGCCCGCAACCAGGGTACATGCCCTTGACCAGAATTGAACTCAGGACCCTTCAGTCCGCAGGCTGATGCTCTATCCACTGAGCCAAACTGGTTTCAGCAACATGGAAGGTTTTTATACTAAAAAAGAGGGTGGGACTAAGAAGTTAACGGAATGGATTATTTCTGGCAAGGATAATTTTCCTTTGGGCAGTGGTTGGCAAACTCATTAGTCAACAGAGCCAAAAATCAACAGTACAACAATTGAAATTTCTTTTGAGAGCCAAATTTTTTAAACTTAAACTTCTTCTAATGCCACTTCTTCAAAATAGACTCGCCCACGCTGTGGTATTTTGTGGAAGAGCCACACTCAAGGGGCCAAAGAGCCGCATGTGGCTCTCGAGACCCAGTTTGCCAACCACGGCCTTAGGGGAAAGTAGGACTTTCTATCAGGCAGATCACCTCACTAGTGTTGACCAGGAAATTCCAGACTAATTGACTTAAAATTTCACCCCTGGGAGAGGCTGAAGCTGCAATTAGGTTAGTTATTAAGTTTTGATTTGATGCTGAACTCCATTTTGTTTTTTGTTTTTAATAACAGCCTCCTTAAAAAAAATAACATTCAGAAAAAAGCAAAAGCATGACTCTTGTTTGAACAGATACAAGAATGAACGTGTGTTTAAGAGCTTACTCCTTAATTAGCGAGAGGGAACCAGACCAGTGTTATAACAGGTTCAGAGGAAGAGTCATAGAAACTCAAATTTAAATGTAATAAAGGGTTTCAATTACAAATGAAGGAAAAACTATTTTTGGAAAGGGGGAAGGAAGTCAAAGGAAACTACTGTTATCTGTGGAAGAGGAGTTCTTGGGATACCACTGGAATAAGAATGTCAAGAGCCTGCATAGGAGAATGAGGTGTTTATTGTAGGAAGCTTTATTTCTGTGGACTCGAACCCTGAGTTTCCATGGTCCTATTTCCTATCTCCCCCACCCCCTCCCCCCCTCCCCCAAGGAGGAAGTGTAGCTGTGGCTTCAGAAGAGCTAGAATCAGAGCCCATGTCCAGAGATTTCGTTCCATGTTGGAGCATGTCCAGTTCAGCATCAGGCTCACTTAGCTTGTGTTCCCCATTGGAGTCCATCAGTCCGTGGCATAGCTGTGGGACACATGGGCGAATACAAGGGAGCCAAGAGCCAAGAGCCAGGAGAGCAAGCTCCTTTGTTTAGGGGATTATGTGTCCCATATTTTTGTGGGCTCGCAGTGGGCCTGCCCATTCTGGCCAATGATCTGTGTTCCAAGGTTTGACTGACAGGCATCTTCCTTTCACCCCAACTTCACTGCACATGCATCTCCCCTTTGTTGGACTCCTTCCTCCAGTGATCTGTGGGGAGTGGGCCAGTGGTTCCCTGGGGAATGCAAAGTTGCAGCTTCCTGATCAAGCTGCCCAAATGTTTCTCTTCCTCTCTCTCTCTCTCTCTCTCTCTCTCTCTCTCTCTCTCTCTCTCTCTCTCTCATCAATAAAAAAACATATTTAAATACATAAATATGTAAAAGCTGCAGTTCAAGCTAACCCACTGTGAGTAACATATCATCCATTCTCCTCTATTATTAAATACCGGAGGCCCGGTGCACGGAAATTTGTGCACTGGGGGGCGGGGTCCCTCAGCCCAGCCTGCCCCCTCTCACAGTCTGGGAGCTCTTAGGGGATGTCCTACTGACAGCTTAGGGAGGTGACCGGGCCTATCAGGGGAAGGTGCTGCCCCATCACCCTACTGTTGCTGCCACTGCTGGCTGCTGGCCCTCCTTGGCCTCGCAGTCGCTGCCGCTTTGTCTGGAAGACATCCGGTCTAATTAGCATATTACCCTTTTATTAGTATAGATAATTTCAAATGGCCTGAGAAGGCAAGGTTTGCCTGAAGACCTTCCTCTGATTCCTTCGAGTTCTGTGGTTGGACATGGCTGTAACAGGCAGCTTCTAAGATGGCCCCTAGTGATCTCCAACTCTTGATATTTATACCACCGTATAACTCTCTCCCTTTGAATGGGGTGAGACCCACGACTTGCATTAACCAGTGGAGTGTGTTACGTAGGGTGGGATGTCACTTCCATGGTTAGGTTACATAAGATAGACAGTAACTTCCCCTTTCCCAGCAGGTGCTCCCTCCGTGCTTTGATGAAGCACGTTGCCATGGTGGGGGGGCCTGCATGATAAGCGAGTGAGGGTGGACTCTGGCCAAAGCAAGCAAAGAACAGAACCCTTCAGTCCAACAACCTTTGAGGAGCAGATTCTTCCTCATTCAAGCCTCCAAGTAAGACTCCAACCCTGACAACACCTTTCACCTGCCTCTGAAACAGAAGCCTACCCAGTCTCCTAACCCACAGAAGCTGTGAGATAGTAAATATATGCTCACGTAAGTCACTACATTTGCAGTGATTTGCTATGTAACAGTAGAAAATGAACACAATGGCACTCTAGGAAGTGTTGGTGGTCTACTCATCTCTTTCCAACCCCTTCTTTATTTGGAATCTTGATGGGCCGAATGCTCATCTCTACAGACGCTCCACTCCCTACTCCTAGACATCCTTTAGGCCTCGAGGGGTGTATATATTCCGCTGGTGAAGAGCGGCACTGCCCTTGGGAGGATGGGCCCAGGGACAATCTCCTGCAAGCCCCGGGAAAGGCTAGGGCCATTTATGCGGGGAATTCCAGGGCATTTGGCACTCGGAACATTCTAACGAAGGGGCAACCGGTCTTTGACTCCTCCCACCCCTGCCCCCTGCCCCAAGACTCCACCTCAATGGAAAGGGTCTGGCTAAAGAAGGAGCAGAGCAAGTCCCTCTAAAGTAAGGTGACCAGACGTCCCGCTTTTGGCAGGACAGTCCCGATCTTTAACACTTTGTCGCATGTCCAGCGGCCTTTTAAAAAAGTCCCAATTTTTGGAAAGGTTTTAAAACGCCGCTGGACGTGAAACAAATTGCTAAAAATCGGGACTGTCCCGCCAAAAGCGGGACGTCTGGTCACCTTACCTAAAGCACATGGCCATGGCCAGGGGCCCCTCTCACCCACTCTATGGCCAGCACTGTACTCATGAGGAGCACTGGCTGGGGTCAGGTGGACTGGATCGGACCCAGAGAGCTGCCTGCAGAGTTTAAAGTTCCAGGCGTCTTCAAACTACGGCCCGCGGGCCACATGCAGCCCGCAGAGGAGTCTGATCCGGCCGCCAGGTTTTTTGGGCAGTGAGCGCAGCCGAGGTGTTACAGTAGGAATTAGTAGTTCATATAGTCCGGCCCTCCAGCTCTCTGAGGGACCGTGATCTGGCCCCCACTTTAAAAAGTTTGAGGACCCCTGGGAGCTGCTGTACACCTGAGGGGAATCCGCAAAGGGAGCGAGGCTGACTGGATGGTAAAATGGGAGGACTTAGCAAGGGGGTGGGCGGGCTCCCAGGAAAGGAGCCGGAACAGACTGAGTCCGTGTCCCAAAGGTACAGTCTCCTTAGAGTCGAGTGGTGAAGAGTTTGGGCTATGAAGTCCGAGTGCGTCTGTTTAAATCCTGCCTGCCTCTGCACTCTGGTTGTATGATTTTAGGGAAATTACCCAAACCCTCTGAGTATCAGTTTCCTCATCTATAAAATGGGGGCAAGAACAGTATCTATCCCATAGGTTCGTGGAGAAGATAAATGCCTGGAAAGTACTTCATGAACATTGGCTACCATTAGGGAATCGGAGGCTCCAAGGGCTATTTTTCTGCTCCCTGGTGCTACTTGCCTTGCTTGCCTCAGGGGGAGAATGAGGAGGGCTTATCCAGTTGCTTGGGTACTCATTTGCTCAACAAGCTTTTATGGAAACTCACAGAGCACGGTGCTAACTTACACCCTCCCTCTTCACACTCCACGAGAACCGTGATGGGCCCCTGGGCAGGTGCTGCTGCGGTGTGGAGGTATGGGTTCTGTGGTGCCTGTTCCCAGTGAATGTGTGCCATTGGGCAAGGCACTGGCCTCTGCTGCCTCCTCTGTTAAAGGCGTCACCAGTGTAACTCCCTCCAAGGATGGACCGCAGACCTGTAGTCTCGGCTTCCAGGGCCGTGTTAGAATGCAGAAGCTCAGGCCCCTCCTCAGAGTCAGAGCCTCTGGGGTGGCCCCTGAAATCCCCCAGCTCACTGAAGCCTGAGGGCCCCTGGGGTGGGCTGTCAGAAATCTTCACAGATCCGGCTCCACAGCTCCTCTTGGGCTGCCAATGGGCTGGACTTCATTTTTATTTTATTTTTTTAAATACATTTTAATTGATTTTTTTACAGAGAGGAAGAGAGAGGGATAGAGAGTTAGAAACATCGATGAGAGAGAAACATCAATCAGCTGCCTCTTGCACACACATACACACACACAAACATACCTCCCCCCACTGGGGATGTGCCCGCAACCAAGGTACATGCCTTTGACTGGAATCGAACCTGGGACCCTTCAGTCCCGCAGGCTGACGCTCTATCCACTGAGCCAAACCAGTTGCGGCGGGCTTCACTTTTATTTTTATTATTTTATTTTATTTTAAAAAATATATTTTATTGATTTTTCTCAGAGAGGAAGGGAGAGAGAGATAGAGAGCCAGAAACGTCGATGAGAGAGAAACATCGACCAGCCGCCTCTTGCACACCCCCTACCAGGGATGCGCCCGCAGCCAATGCACATGTCCTTGACCGGAATCGAACCTGGGACCTTTCAGTCCGCAGACCGACGCTCTACTGCTGAGCCAAACCGGTTTCGGCGGACTTCACTTTTAGAGGCACCCACGGGGCCCTGGGGAAACAGATGTTCCCTCCTACCCATTAGCGTTTGGAAACGGCGATGGTGTGAATGCTTGTGTCTTCCCAAATGCATCTGGTGAAACCCTGACCCCCAAAGGTGATGGTCTGAGAAGGGGGGTTTGGGGAGGTGCTTCATGCTGAGGGTGAAGCCCCACAGAGCTTCCTACCCCCCTCTCTTCCAGAGGATCCAGTGAGAAGTCTGCTTCCTGGAAGAGGGTGCTCCCCGGACCATGCTGGCACCCTGACCTTGGATGTCCAGCCTCCAGACCTGTGAGATATAATTTTTTGTGGCTCTTAAGCCACCCACTGAATGCTATTTTTGTTATAGCAGCCTGAGCGGATAAGTTTCAGCTGGGCTGGGGGCCTAGTGCAGGGACATTCAGGGCCCCTTGTTCAAAAGCAGGAGGAAAACTTTTTCCTCCTGTGGGCTCTGCCTTGGCTCATCACGCGTTTAAATTAAAACTTGCTATTTAATGTCGTGCCCTCTGGGCATGGGGAGACTTGCTGGGTGAGTACACCCCTCAGGGCCTCCTGCCCCAGCCCCCACCCTCCGTGTGTTTGCGCTCAGGCCTCCGCGGAGGGCACTGCAGCTCCCCGGGTGACCTCTGAGCTCCGGCTGGAGCAGAAGTGATTGCAGCTGGGAGAAAGTGCAGCCGGCAGCAACCTGGTATTTAGGGTGATTAATGAACGGACTGGAAATTTCCTCTGCTCCGGCCTCCGCCCGCACCTGAACTGTGGCCGAGGCCGAGGTACGTTTCTGTATAATTTCTTCTGACAGCTGGGAGGAGGGCAAGCCCAAAAGACTAACCCAATTACAGTCACGGAGAGATCTGGCTGTTCTCTGCTGACAAGGTGAACACAAGGGCATCCCAGTTCAGAGAACGTGCTCTCCTGCCCAGCTCCCCTGCATAGCTGTGCTTTGAGACACACGGTGGCTGTGCCTCCTGGGCTGTGGAAAGTAGGGTGATGCGAACAGAGCCAGAGTGGCGTGGCCTCCACGTTCTCCCCTGGCCAGGCCTGCACCAGGTCCGCCCGGGAGAGGCGACAGAGGTAGGAGCCCTGACCGGGAACTCAGAAAAGCCGCGGTCTCCTCCTGGAGTGGACACGCAGCCTCCTCCCTGGGCCCCAGGATCCTCATCTGTAACATGAAGGTATAAAATGAGATTATCCCCAGCTCCACCTCTCCCTTATTTAATTTAACATTTAATATGATTAAAGGACTCAAAAGAGGCGTTTCAGCTTGGGAATTCATTTTACGGGAGGAGAGCGAGTCACAGAACACGGGGCAGAGCGGGAGAGAAGCCAAAAGGCACGGCACCACGAAAGCCTGGCCGTCCTTAGAGGGTGACGTCTCTTCATAGGCAGTGGCGAGCCGCTGGGCGTCTGAGGAGGAAAGAGAGGGCTGCGGTCAGAGCAGCACCTGAGGAAGATGGATTGGGCGGCCCAGTTTCAGAAGAATCGAGGATAAAAGAATCCAGGTAAGTCATTTCCAGCAGCCCTCCATGGAGCGGCCAACAGCCTGCAGAGCAACACGCCCCAGTTGTATGGTGACCTTTGCGACACATACCTCCCTCATGACTCACCTGCTGGGAGAGAGACACGTCGTCGCAGTGGGAGGAAACAAAGGGAATGTGGACGATAACGATCAGGAATGGAAGCACAGGCTCAGAGCCCGATTGGCAAAGCTACCAAAAGATAGCTCTCCTCCATTCTCTGCTCTTCCCCCTGTGGAGGAAAAGACACCCCCCCAGCCCCTCAAATCTCCCTGGTCCTCCCATGATGCCAGTGATGGGCCCTCCCCCTCCTGGGATGATGTCAGCTGGGCCCCCAACGGTCCCATGATGATGTCTCCTTGGCCGGGAATGACACCACCGGACAGATGAGAGAGGGAGCCTCTTGCTGTCCGTTTGAGATTACTTCTCTACTTCACCAGGCGACCAGGGTGCTGTGACTTGGTTTTTGTTTTGTTTTTTTTCCTCTAATGGCATGACTAGGAGGACTTGCTCCCCCTTCTTATCAGAGAGAATAGTTTTGGAGGGGAGTAGGGGGACAAAAAAAGAAAGAAAAAAAAAGGCTAGTTTCATTTGTATCGTGAAATATGAAAATAAATTTGTCAATTCTTTTAGTTAAAAAACATAAAAGAATCCAGGCAAGAGGCCATGCACACATACATGTCTTCACCTTTACCAGGGAGCACCAATCTGCCTGCCTAAGGCTGTCCTAATCCTCCCTCCCTCCAGCAGGCTGAGAGCGTTCTCGTTTTGGCAAACTCCCACCATAACTTGGCATTCTCAGGCCTCTACATTTTTGCCAACACATGGGTGTGAACCAACATTTCATTGTAATATTAACTTGCATTTCCCTGGTGAGTAGGGCATTTGAATGCCTTTTGTGTGTTTGTTGGGTAATAATGTTTCCTCTTCCGTGAATTTCCTGTTCAGTCTTTTGTCTATATATATATTTTTAATATATTTTTTTAATTGATTTTTTTACAGACTGGAAGAGAGAGGGACAGAGAGTTAGAAACATCGATGAGAGAGAGTCATCGATCAGCTGCCTCTTGCACGCCTCCTACTGGGGATGTGCCCACAACCAAGGTACATGCCCTTGTCCGGAATCGAACCTGGGACCTTTTAGTCCGCAGGCTGACGCTCTATCCACTGAGCCAAACCGGTTTCGGCTTTCTATATATTTTTTAATGTTCTTTTAAAATGTCTACCCCCATAAATCTGGCTACTAATCTTCCCAATTATCTGCAGTGCAGATGTGTTTTCCCAGTTTGTATTTGTCTTTTAACTTAGTTTATGGCGACTTTAGAAAAGCAGTCAGATGACTGTAACAGTTGAATTTGTCAGCATTTTAATTTATGGTTTGTTCTTTGGTGTCTTTTTGAACCCTTTACCCTCAAATCACAAAGCAATTTTTAAATTTCTCCTGTATTTTAAAAGAGTTTTAAGGTTTCCTTTCATCTTGAGGTCTTCATACACCAAATTTATTTTGTGTATCGATACTAGAGGCCTGGTGCATGGATTCATGTACCAATGGCATCTCTTGGCCTGGCCTGCAGGGATCGGGCCGAAAGTGGCCTGGTGCACGAATTCATCCACGGTGTGTCTGGCCTGTCTCTCACAGTCCCGATGGGAGGGCTCCAGGGCGCGTACGGCCGGTCTTGCCCATTCCCTATCAGCCAGACCCCAGCAGCAAGCTAACCTACTGGTCAGAGCGTCTACTCCATAGTGGTCAGTGCACGTCATAGCAACTGGTCAACTGGCTAAAACAAACGGTTGGACACTTAGCATATTAGGCTTTTATTATTTTGTATATGGCGTAGGGTATGGTAAGGTAAAAATCCAATGCTCTCACTTTCCATATGGATACCAGATTGTTCCAGGACCTCTACTGAATGCCTCATGGCCCTGCCCTGCCTCCCAGGCCAGGAAGAGAGGGAGATAACTCTTGGGATTGAAAGGTCTGCAGCATGCGCCGGCCCCTGGGGGCCCAGCTTGCCCACACTCTTCCTGCCCTCTCTCCCCTCCCAGAGGGCCAGCCCATGGCAGAAAGGCTTGTGCCAGCCCGGACACACACACACAGTCTTTGGGTCTCCTGCCCAGGAATGTTGGTTCCTGAGACAGAGAATCTTTGTGGAAAAGGAAGAAGAAGAACCCTGATGTCTCCTGTGGGCTCCAGGCTGAGGAAGGAGGATGCCTGGCACTGAGGGGAGGCGGGGCCTGGACTGGAGCCTCCAAGGCGCGGTGAGAGGCTTTCTAGATTTCTGAGGCTTCTGGGGCGAGGGGGCTGGGCCCCTTCGAAGGGGGGAGAGAGCAGAAAGAGGGCCTCTCCCCTCTGCACTGACCTGAGAGGAGCCTACAGGCTCTGCCCCCTGCCTTCTTTCTAGAACGTGGGAGGTCCTTGAGGGTACCCCAAAAAGGTGAGGCTACTGCATAGATATGGAACAGATAACAGTGGAAGTAGAGAGAGATTGTCTTCTCATTCTTTTTCAATACTTCTAATTGCATCTGGGGAAAAGTCTCCCTTTGGTCTAACCCCGTGGAATGCTTGCCAATCCCCCCTTTTAACTTGGAGAGACTGGGCCCGAGGCGCTGGAGACCTGGGAGCTAGGGCATCTGACTACTCGTAGGGGTGTCGAACTCAATCAGAGAAGGGGCCAAAATCTAAAATCCAGCCTAAATCGCGGCCCGAATGGTTTACTGAACAGTCATAAACTGTCATTGTGATGGAAACACAGCGGAGTGCAGTGATGACAGCGCGGTGCGGGCCACATTGCAAGGCCTGGCGGGACGGATTTGGCCCGCGGGCCTTGTGTTTGACACATGTGGGTCACTAGAGGCTTTGTTTGTGTTGTATTTACTTCTTGGGGGCTGCCTTCTATTCTGAGGAGTGAAGGCAGTTTGCTATTAGTGACGCTAATAGAAAGTTTCCTTTTAATACTTGTATTTGAGCACAGAAAGCCACTGTAGGAGCGTTAGGTCATACATCTGGATAAAGAGAGATAGAAAAGGAGGGTCAGCAGGATGTTGATGGCGGTCAGCTCCCGGTGAATTTTGTCTTCCTTATCCTTTTTTTTTTTTTTTTGTATTGTTTGCATTTTTCACAATGAGCATACATGATTTAAAATATCAGAAAATAACTACTTTTGTTATGGAGAAAGGTATATACGTTTAAAGGAAGGAACCTACTAACGACATAATAATGCCAGGAATATATGGCTTCAGCAACATGGTTGACTTGGCCTGGGTGACTGTGTGTTGGGAGACTATGAGGACTGGCCCAGGCAGAGCAAGGACAGCCTACCTGTCACAGGAAATTGGGGCACCTACTGCTGGGGGAAGGGCCTTTTCTTTCCAGCCCTGTCCAGAGGATTTCATTTCAGAGTCTCCCCTACAACCTTTGAACCAGGTGAAAGCCCTGATCGGCTGGAGAGGTGGGCTTGCATTGCTGTGGTGTGTGTGTTAGACCTTGGCGTTGCCTGCATTTTTTTTTTTTTAATAAGTTTTGTGTGAACTACATTCATATACTCATGTAGTGTCTTTTTTTTTTAAAATATATTTCATTGATTTTTTACAGAAAGGAAGGAAGAGAGATTGAGAGCTAGAAACATCGATGAGAGAGAAACATTGACCAGCCGCCTCCTGCACATCCCCTACCAGGGATGTGCCCGCAATCAATGTACATGCCCTTGACCGGAATCGAACCTGGGACCTTTCAGTCCACAGACTGATGCTCTACCGCTGAGCCAAACCGGTTTCGGCGTGTTGCCTGCATTTAGATGCCTCAGGTTGGGGTGGACAAAGGGAATTGGCCAGGGTCTTGCTTTCTCTTCCTGGTGCTGCCTTACGGTCTGTTGTTCCAGAGCCGATAGGAGACAGCCTTCTCCCTGTAGGCTGTTCCCCCGTCTGCAGAGTGACCACAGTTTGGCTCTCGTCCCAGAGAGTCCTGGCAGCTGGTGCCAGTTCGTGGTGCTCGCGCCTCTGCAGCGTAGGCGTCATTTCACAGGAGCCCCTGGGGCGAAGGATTCCTCCTGTGTAGCCATCGGAATCCTCCGTTCACCGCCCTCGGGGAAAAGCCTTTTTCAGATCACACCCTGAATGACTATTTAGTCTTTAATGGGGCCAACATGTCCCAACAGAACAAGGAGCAGACAGAGACTCCCAGCTCTTCCTTGGGGATTTACCTGGCTGCACGGCCTGAATGCTGTGTGTGTGTGTCTTGATTATGGGGTGGATGGGGATTGAGCCCACAGTGTCTTCCATCATGAGATAACTCAGACCACGTTGTCACTCATCCACAGGCACAGGGCAGTCCCAGGCCCTGCCCGTGGGGGTGGCCGTCTATGAAGAAGGCCGAGCGGTAAGGGCAGGGGTGACGAGGGTTTGCTGCAGCCCATAGCCGTGGTCACTGCAAGGAGAGCTGAGAGGGGTGTCTGAGCAGAAGACTTAGATTGAGACACTTCGCCGAAACTGGTTTGGCTCAGTGGATAGAGCGGTGGTCTGCGGACTGAAAGATCCCAGGTTCGATTCCGGTCAAGGGCATGTACATTGATGCGGGCACATCCCTGATGGGGGGTGTGTAGGAGGCAGCTGGTTGATGTGTCTCTCTCATCGATGTTTCTAGCTCTCTATCCCACTCCCTCTCTGTGAAAAACTAATAAAATACATTTTAAAAAAAGAAAAGAAAAGAAAAAAAAAAACAAGAATGAGACACTGTGGGGAGGGGAAAATTTCCCCTTTTAGTTATTCTGGCTGGCCTAATAATCAAATTGACATGAGACAGATCAACAGGAGAAGATAACCAAATGTAATTAAGTATGTGCATGCAAGCGTTCAGGTAAGAAAAGGGGACCCAAGGACAGAGCTGACAGTTGAGGTTTCTATGCCATTTTGAGCTGGAGAAAGGGAGTGATGGTTTACATTTCAAAGGGAAGGTAGGCAATTTGCAGAGAGATGGGAAGGATCTAGATATTTGGTAAACAAATTCCTGCAGGTCTACCCAGAAACAATGGGACACAGAGGGGAGTCTAGCCAACAGACTTCCTAGGTTCCTCCCTGTCTGCCACCCTTAGTTCATGTTAAAACATAGTTGTCTGTGATTATACCTCTCTCCCTGGAGCAGGTTCTCTGTCTGAATCCATTTAGGCCATTTGGGGGAGGTCAAAGTTTCTTCCTGAGGCTTGTTTTTAAAAAAATAAACCATCTGAAAATAAACAATATTTTAAAAATGGGGGGTGGGCATCTTTGAGATGGGAACCCTCTCCTCCTGCCCTTCTACTCAAAGAAAGAATTCAGCAGATGAGGAGCTGTGGGGAGGAGAGATCCAGGAAGAGGGAACAGACTATGCAGAAATCCAGATGCCAGAGGGACCCTGCTGTGTTCAGCGGGGAGATCTCCTTTAGGTGGCTAATGGAGAGAGAATAAGCTGGGGAGATGGGCAGGGCCCACATCCTGTTGAACCTCCTAGGACAGGAGTTCTCAACTGAGGGTAGTTTTGACCCCCAGGGACCTTTGGCAAGATTGTCACAAATGTGTTTGTGTGTGTGTGTGTGTGTGGGGGGGGGTTGGGGGGGTGTAGCTCCTGGCATGGAGTAGGTAGAGGCCCTGGATGCTGCTAAACATCCTACCAGGCACAGGATAGCCCCCGGCAACAAAGAATGATCCAGCCAAAACAGGTCAATAGCGCCGGTGTTGAGAAACTGGGTCTAAAGACTTGGTTCCTCCTTCTAAAGCCAAGAGGAAGCTTGCCTGAGTTTTACAGGAGAGGGACATGATCAGATTTATGTTTTAGAGTGATCAGTCCAGCTGTTCTGAGGAAATGTTGTTCTAGTTCAGGGCCACTCTTCGGAGTCCTCCAGCGTGGGAATTTCCAGCCTCTGTGGTTTTCTTCCCCCCCGGGACTTACCCTGCACTGCTTTGTGGACATCTGGGTCTCTAGGAAAACCCACCAGGTCGGAGAAACCAAGTCAGACACTTAGTAAGAACTGAGCAGGCCAGGGGGTTTCCTGTGAGCACAATACGCACAGCAAGAGGGCCTGTAAAATGTCTAAGGCCCATGTGTCAGGCCCCCCAAAGATGTCCCAATCCCCCAAACCTGTGAATATGTCACTATCCAATGGCAAAGGGATTTTGCAGATGTGATTAACATAAGGAACTTGAAATGGGAAGATTATCCTGGATTATCTGGGTGGGCCAATGTAATGAGAAGGGTCATTGTAAGAGGGAGACAGGAAGGTCCGATTCATGGTGACAGAAATGGCAGGGTGTGTGTGTGTGTGTGTGTGTGTGTGTGTGTGCACGCACGTGGGAGTTGGGGGAAAAGAGATTTGAAGATGCTATGCTGCTGGCTTTGAAGATGGGAGATGTGGCTAGTACAATAAAATAATAAATTTGTGTGCCACTAAATTTCTGGCAATTTGCTAACATAGCAATAGGAAAGTAATACAGGCTGGGAGAAGTATTAATCGACTCTGGTATAAAAAAAAAAAAAACACACCCTGAAAATTTGAAATGAATAATGATATTTTTCAAAACTTGTTTTATAATATTTAATAGATGCAAAAATGTGTAAAGGCTAATATAATACACAATGAAGTATTATCCACTCAAGTAAAAAATTAACCCATCTGATGTAATTTTCCTATCTTTGGGAGATAATCAGTGTCCTAAATTTGACATTTATTATTCCCATACATTTTTATACCTCCAATCAATATGTAATACTGCTTTGCATGTTATTTTATATAAATGACATCATAGTGTGTGTTTTCTTATGGAACTTTTCTTTTATATTTAACTAGAGGCTCGGTGGATGAAATTCATGCATGGGGGTGGTGTGTCCCTCAGCCCAGCCTGCACCTTCTCCAATCTGGGACCCCTCGAGGAATGTCTGACTGCCTGTTTAGGCCTGATCCCTTGGGCAGTCAGACATCCCCCTCACAATCCAGGTCTGCTGTCTCCAAACCGCTCATCTTCCTGCTTGCCTGATTGCCCCTAACTGCTTCTGCCTGCCAGCCTGATCACCCCCTAACCACTCTCCTGCCAGCCTGATTGACGCCTAACTGCTCCCATGCCAGCCCCAATGCTCCTAACTGCCCTCCCCTATGGGTCTGGTCACCCCCAAATGCTCTCCCCTGCTGGCCCAGTAACCCCTAACTGCCCTTCCTGGCCAACTTGGTCACCCCTAACTGCCCTCCCCTGCCAGCCTGGTCGCCCACAACTGTCCTCCCATGCAGACCTCATCACCCCTAACTACCCTGCCCTGCTGGCCTGTTTTTCCCCAACTGTCCTCCCCTGCTGGCCCAATCACCCCTAACTGCCCTCTCCTGATGGCCCGGTCGCCCCTAATTGCTTTCCCCTATAGATCTGGTCGCCCCCAACTGCCCTCCTCTGCCATTCTGGTCACCTACAACTGCTCTTCCCTGCAGGCCATCTAATGGTGGCCATTTTGTGTCTACATGGCAGTAGTCATCTTGTGTGTTGGAGTGTCAGTCAATTTGCATATTCCTCTTTTATTAGATAGGATGTGCTTTGAGATGTGGACAAAAAAAGCCACATGCTAACCTGACAAGCTCAGGGAAGACCTGCATGACAGTCTTGCAAACTCAAGACCTAAAGTAACCATAAAGGATGGTCTGAAATTGAACTTCTAACTAAAAGCAGTTATGGTGGGTAGTCATGTCCAAGGCCAGTATTTTCCCTGATGAGGTCAATCTTTATCTTATTGTTTTGCATTTAAGATAACATACTTATGAAATGTCAGAGTAACTTGTAACTTCCCTTTTTCTGGACCCTTCAGGGCACAACCAAATGTGTCTCGGCGCCAGGACAGAGACCATAAATTCCTTCCTTGTTATTGTTAGCATGTTAAATGCTACTGTACCCATCCATCTAAGTAAAAGAAGCATGTGTCTATCACTTTACTTTTCATCCAATCGAGAGGTCTCCTCGCTTTGCTTTCTCCTGCTTCCCTAATCTATCACCAATGGTTTTCATGTAACCCACTTACATCTCCTCCTTTGATTGTAGTGTATAAAACAAAGTGAAAAACCACCATTCTCCGGAGCATTATCCCAAATCCGTTGAGATTCTGCTTCCCGGCAATTGTTGACAGTTTGGCTCAAATAAATTCACAAAAAATTATTTACAGGTTTGAATGTTTTTATGTTAACAGAGAACTATTATTGTTGAATTATTCTAGTGACTACATGTTACCCAATTGCATGAAGGAGTCATACTTAATTTATCGGTCCTCCTCATCATCGTTTAAGTTGTCCGTTTGGCTTTTACAAACAAGGGAGCCATAAACATTTTTGCGCTTGTCTCTTGGTGCATTTCTACAAGGGTTTCCCCAGGGTTGACTCCTAGGAGTAAAACTGCGGCGACCTTGGATGAACAAGTTTTCCAGAGAGTTCCAAAGTGCTCCTCACGGAGGTCAGGCCAATCTTCATTCAACCAGCAATGCATAGACCTGTGGT